ATAACTACCCCACAGCCACGGCAACAGGGCATGTAAGCTGCTCACATCTCCACAGCCGGCCTGAAGTTATATAATTACCCCACAGCCACGGCAACAGGGCATGTAAGCTGCTCACATCTCCACAGCCGGCCTGAAGTTATATAATTACCCCACAGCCACGGCAACAGGGCATGTAAGCTGCTCACATCTCCACAGCCGGCCTGAAGTTTTATAATTACCCCACAGCCACGGCAACAGGGCATGTAAGCTGCTCACATCTCCACACCTGGTCTGAAGTTATATAATTACCCCACAACCGTGGTGATAGGGGCTGAAAGCTGGCAGATTTACATTCACTAAACTGATCACACAGAACACTCAAAACTCCACCCTAGTTAGAAAAACTAAATTCTAATAACTGATATTTTTACCTGGCATTATTATTCAGTTTACCTGTTTTTTTTTTTTTTAAAAAAAACAATAATTTTATTCTACGCATTGTGACTTGGCAGGTTGAAGAATATTTGTGCAGTTTTTTTTGTCTAAATGCAATAATAATAGTAACATGTAGGGTGACACGGTGGTGCAGTGGTTAGCACTGTTGCCTCATGCCTCTGGCACCTGGGTTCTAGTCTTTGCCAGTGTTCCATGTGTGTGGCGTTTGCATGTTCTCCCTGTGTCATCGTGGGGTTTCCTCCAGGTGCTCCCATTCCCCCCCAGTCGTAAAACATATAGAGGCTAATTGGAGTTGTCAAACTGAGCAACGGTGTTCCTGTCTGAGTGAATGGCGTGTGACTGTGTCCTGTGATGGGTTGGTGTCCCATCCTGGGTTGTTCCTTGCCTTGTGCCCATAAACTCCAGACCACCCCACAACCCTGAATAGGACAAGCAGTTACAGAAAATGGATGGATAATAATCTCCATGAACTATTTTCAGATTTGGTATAGAGATCGTTTAAAGACACATGTTGGCATGGTACTCAGTTAGAGCGTACAAGGTGAGATGCCAGCAGTCCCAAATTCACCATGACAGCTACATTCTCTTATAACTGTCATGAAACAAGGGTTAAGATGCCACAATAGACCAATTAGCATACTTTCCTGACACATCGCCCATCTGAAATATACATGAACAGACACTTTTATCTAAAGTGACGTCCAACTGAGAAATCAGGGTCAGCCAGTCCCTGGAGCAACTGGGGGGGTTAAGGGCCTTGTTCAGAGATCCACTGGTGACATCACTCTGCCGACCCTGGGATTTGAAGCTTCTGATGGATGGATCAATGTCCTAACCCCCCCCCCCCCCCCTTTGTGTTTTTTGCAGTGAGAACATTGTGGAAAATGGTGAGAAGAGAAGAGAGGAGAAGAGAATTAAGGTTAGTGTCACCGTCTGCTGGATGCTGACCCCCCCGCTGAGGGTCCCTGTCATCGCGTGTGACTGAGACTGGCGTGTGTGGAGAGACCCCTGAGCGGGGGAGCAAAGTGCAGGGTGGCCTGTGACACCCCCATGTTACTGCCCTTTTGCAGGCCATACGTTCCTACACGACTGGCCCAGAGCAGCCAACAAAACACCTGGTAATGAAATGAAAAAATTACAAACGAGATGGGGTTAAAATATTGAGAAATTAGCATCACGGACAAGTCCGTTTGGAAGAAAGGTGGAGGGGAACAGAGCATGAGATGCAGAAACTCACCCAGAAGGTACGCAAAAAGACCCTCTGGGGGTTATAGGAACCCCTTCCGAAAGCATTTAGGAGCTTTTAGTAAAAATTTTGGAGAGCTGGAGTGGCTTTCTGGCCGTTTCAGCAGGTCAGCCGGCGACGCTGTGAACAGACAGGCGTAATTTAGGGGCCCCCGCAGCTGAGAGTTTCACCGCCTGACGTTTTATTTATTCTGGGAATTACTGAACCTCACATCCTGCTCTCTGGAATTGTCTTCTGGCTCGTTCACATTAACAGGCACAGTTAGACAGGTGCCCTCTAATTAAGTCTGTCTTTAAGCCAGTGCTGAGGATACAGCAGCTGGCGCACAGTGTTTTCCAGCTGGATTTTATGATGGAAATGGAACAGCCTGGACTCCTGGAAGGTAAGGGCTCTGCAGTATTTGTAAACCACAGGCAAAACGGCTTGGGCAGGATTAATGTGATTGTCAAAGGCTGTGTTAAATGTTACCTAAAAAAAGATATGTAGACTGATGCCAGATATGTAGGAAGGTTACAGACTATGGATACCTGATATCTGATACCTGCATTTATCTGGCATCAGTATATGTGCAGAAATAAATGCTGTCTTTCCTAGCGCTTGCGTTGATGAGGAACTACAGATGCTCCCAGGAATTCCTTGTGGAAGCCCATATGTAAGCATTGACATATCAGCCTGATAACCTCTTACCCAGCACAGGGCTTTCGAGAACCCAGTCCACCAACCCACCACCAAAATACAGGCAGGAAATGCATAGAACAGTGTTTCACAATCCAGTCCTCAGGGAACCCCAAACAGTCCACGTTTTTGCTCCCTTCAAGCTCCCAGCCAATCAGGAACACCGATGGTGCAGGTGCAGGTGGAAGCTGAGAGGAAGCAAAAACGTGGACTGTCCGGGGTTCCCCGAGGACTGGGTTGGGAAACACTGGCATAGAGCATGCCAAAGCCGTGCATTCAGAGCAAGGTGGGATGCAAACCCAACTGTGGGGCTGTGAGGCTACACTCTACGTCTTAGTAATTATAGAATTAATTAGTCAGAGTTAATGAAACAGTCACGAAGAGGCAAAACACCTAGCGGATCCCAAGGATTATACAAAACAGCAGCTAGACCCAGAAGCAGAATTATTGTTGTTGCATTCGTTACGTCACAGGATAAATAAAGCATTAAGAATTCTGGTTTATGTGAGGGTGATTGTTTCTGCCTGAGTAACAGTTCAGTCAGACATGATGTATTTGTAGAGTATGCTTCAGCGTGTTTGAGCTTGCGAGAATCCAGGCTTTCACATGCATTCATCCTGTAGCCACTCGGAAATCATCAATAGCTCGTTCCTTGTGATATGGATACATCTCACTGAGTGGTGAGCGGCACAGTTTCACTATTTAATTGTTAATAGTTCATTTCTGAGAGGCTTTGCAGAGGTGGACTCGGAAGGAAAGGTAGATGATGATCTTCTCATTAGCCAAAGTTTCTGTAACGGCGCTCGCCCATATACAGTGATCCATGGCTTTTCCCAACTTAATAGCTGCTGGCTGGATCTGAAGTCTAATATTACCTGTTTTATTATTAAACGAGCCAATGAAGTCACTGCGGCTAATATTAGATGGCATTGTATCTGATTGTAAAAATTTCTTGTTTTAAAAATAGCCCCGCTTCAAGCGAGATTGGATGTTAGATGGTCTCCTTCCAGCCCAGATGGAGCGGGGAGCCCAGAGCTTTTTGCAACGTAGTGCTGTCAGTCCATATAGAAGACCTGCCCAGTATCTTCACATTTACTGTCTGCAGATTAACCATACTAGTGGTATCATTAAATCCATCCATCCATCTTCCAGCCTCTTATCCTGGTTAGGGCTGTCAGGGGACCTGGAGCCTATCCCAGGCAACGTAGGCCTCATCCTGGATTGGATGCCAGTGAACATCAATCCATTCCGGTTATTTTAGTTCAGAGAGGAGCTATTTTGACTAAGACATGTCTAATGACTTTATTTAAATGAGTAAATCAGCACTAGGAGATCTCTGGCAGGACTTTTTCAGATTATCAAAAGGTTCCGATGACGGCCCACCCCAGCAGTCATTGTGATGGTCTTTTCCGGATAGTGCTTGTGATGGACATCCATCAGCTGTTCAACCCCTATACCTTTTCTTTTTTTTAACTTTTACTCAGAGTGACTCCTATTTTACTGCAATTTAACATGATTCTGTCTCCAGATCTGCAGCCTGTTCTTCACTGTCTTTAACACTTCTTCATATGAGACACCAGCAAACTTTCAGTAACCTAATATTCCTGTTTTTACATTCTTTTGTTATTATTCTGTTTCATGCAGCTGCCTGCTTCCTCTCTTTTTTGCGGGTTAATATCATTTGTAATGACTAGCGGTCTCTAACCTCCAAAAGAACAGGGGGGTATAGTTTAATAGTTTTCCCTTAGGGAGCTAAACAGTTGCTAGCTTGTTAGCCAGCTGGATAGCCAGCGTCGTTGGAAAAAAACTAATCTTGATACATTACAGTCGCCCTGTATTGTAACCTTCCAGCTTTTTAATTATTAGCAAGCGTAAAACAGAAGGCAATTCATTTACGATGAGAATCAGACAGTTACTGTCCTGTTAATGTCACCGTCCTCCAATACTGGACAGTAATCAGGTAGAGATTCAAAAGCCAGGTAACCAGGTATGACCCAAAAGGGTTACTGGTGAAAAAAGCTGCGTCTGTTCATTTCATGCATTTGCTTTGACAACACAATTATTGAACAACTGTTTTACCACAAAAGTTAACTGGTCACATGATCAGCATAGACAGGACTGGCAGTTACTCACATTAAGGCTGACGTGAGTGACTACTGACATTCGGACACATTCCTGGCACACGGCCAAAAGAATTCCACGTTTATTTTAATCTCCTAATATGAACACCGTCACCACCGAAAATTACAGGCAACTTTTGTCAGACAGTCAAAACCGACCGCACTGTTCCCATGGCGTCACCTGACCCCTCCAAAAACCCACCAAAAATACCCCAAACCTGAAAATATAGCCAACATAGTACTCCATTCATAACTAGAGAAATTAATCTTCAGAAGCAGATTTGAATTCATATCAAATATGTTTTGTATGTATGTATGTATGTATTATTATTACTATTGTTGCTTGGTTGGTGTTCAGTGACTACCCTGCTGTGACCCTCTTATTGTTATTGTTCTTATTGTTAAGTTACTACAGCGAGATCTCAGTCTCTGATGGCATTAATAAGCTTGTTAATATTCTTTAATAGACTACAGTCACCCTACCTATAGATACCTGGCTCACTGCATATCAAAGCTGTGTAAGTCAGCCTGCTGACACGTGGCATTCTGCAGTTACATTCCAAATGGCCTTCCCAACTGGATCATTTCCTGTTCTGGTCACAAACATGGCAACGACTTTATGCTAAGTCATGTTCTCTAACAGCTTTTGTACAACTGAATGCAAATCTCAAATTTCAGATTCCTAAATCAGTTTGTAAAAGCCTTTGCGCTGAACGTTGGTGATGTTTTAATGTTAAAGAATGGGGCCTAGTCCAAAACCTGAGAAGCATATGGTTGCAGCCAGGAGCCAAATGTCGAGTGGGAGGGGCAATGTCAGGTAGGAGGGGCAATGTCAGGTAGGAGGGGCAATGTCAAGGGGGAGGGGTTTATGATGAGGAGCCTGTTATCATCTGATACCCTAACCCTCATTATAAACCCCTCCTACCCTTTGTGATAAACCCCTCCTACTCATCATTGCCCCTCGCACTCGACACTCAGCTCCTGGCTGCAGCGATATATACTCGCAAAATCTGGATTAAGTACTCATATCAGAGTAAATTTATATGAATATCCAGTAACCTTTGTTACTCTTCAAATCATTAACTGTCGGCTCAGCTTGTTAACTGTTCATACAGACTACACGGTAAGCTGGAAAACAGTGACATTGAGTCCCCACTGGGATTTAATACCACCATTCTTACAGACCATGAAGTATTGGTCTGAAACCCATGACAGAAAGATCTGACAGCAGCCCTGCTGTCACAGTTTTGTCTAGTAATAAAATTTCCTCTCCTTCTAAGCCAAACACTCTAAACAATGGGAATTTCCTCGAGGAGACTGGCTGGTCCTCCTGTATACTATACAGGAAATCGAACTTGCTTGTGAGTTTCATTAAAGGCTGGGTCTCCACGGTGCGACGGAACCGAGGATGTCGGCAGTCGGCGAAGTTTGAAAAGATCAAGCGAAGCTCTTCTCGCTCGGAGGGAAACCGCGTGGGCCTCGACGATTATGGAACATGACAGTTTGTGTTGTTTGTTTGTTGTGTGGCGCTGTCAACGATGCTTTTTCCTTCTAGGCACTCTTGTCTAGAGCTCAAAGAAATAAAGAGAAACTCCATGTCGCGTTTGTAGGTGCCGGCGTGCATTTCTTTTAGCGCGTTAGCGAAAACCTCGCGTGTGTTACTCTCTAGGTTGCTGTGCCGATCGGCTTCCCGCTTCCAGTTCCGAAGATGTCTCACGTAATGGAATTTGATTTTAATTTGAAACGATCAGACGATTGTGCTGTGAAACATTTTTAGGAATTTGGGATTATGCATTCAGGGTAGATACATGGATAGGGTAGAACATGCTAGCAAATTCTAATCCGTAGCTGATAAGACCCCACATATATAAAGACATTTTTACAATGTGCTAAGAATGTACTAAGAAAAGAATTGTCCTGAAACAGTCCTAGCATCAGAGTTTTTTATTTATACAGGGACTTGAACGCTACAAGCAGTCAGTTATGGCAGAACCAAAATTCGACAAACAGGAAAGCTTTAATACAGAGATGAAAACCCCTCCTCTGCAAGGAGGGGGGGGGGGGCTGCAAGGTCTACCTAGCCATCAGCCTTGGCGTGTCTTCAGTTAACACGCTATAAAAAGTTTCTCTAAAGATCTTGCCCCCAGCTTTCTAAACCGGACTTGAGTTCACGGCCTGAATGGGTTGAACTCTATATGTTTCTTTTATGTTTTTTGATGGTACATGAAGGGCTTCTCAAGGTCTTAATATTTCAGCTAGGCGTGAATAATGAAAACGCGCTTGTGAAGGGATTTAAAAGGGGCCGGAGCCTCCGCGCCGATGTCATTGTGCTCTGGAGCGTCGAAGCACTCGGCCGCAGCCCCGCCGGGGTCACCGATTGCTCGGTGCGGCCCATTCTTCGCCCATTTATGGGAATGTAAAGAGCTTTCATGCGTCGCAGGCGCCACACGTGTGCACACGCACACCATGCACGCACAGGCCCCGCGGCTCTTGACTCGCCGTGACGCGTGGCCGGGCCGCCATTGCCGGCTGCTTCAGCTCCGCTCGGTGTCCTTCTCCCGCAGCCCCGTGGGAAGTGATTTGGGAGCGAGACTTTAGAGCTGGTGGACAGTGACCCTGCAGAG